AATGAACTTAATGTTTCTTTTGTTTCAGATCTGACCCAATCCAGATACCTATCCTTCCATAATAAACTTCAGAATCATCCCAACCCTCTCGTTTCTCACCTTGCTTCCTCTTCAATTCCTGATAACCCTCCGAGGCGTCTGAAAAGAAGATGGCCCCGTGATCTTCTAATGTATCCATATCATTAGAGTGCTACCATTGGGTAGTTACTCAGCAAGTGTTTTCATGTCATTATATCCATGTGTTCAAATTTACTACATGTATTTATATAATACAGTTGTAAATATCATTAGGAAATAATAATAAAAAAAAATCTATTTAGGAGTTGTTTTTAAGGGGGTCTCAAAAACAAACTCGTCCTGGAGCCAGAAAACGGTCTAGGTACGCCACTAGTCATTTCAATTCATCTCAAATTATTTTTGCTTAAGTTCAGTCAGCAAAGACTAATATAATAGGAAATTTAAATTAGAACGAAAAATGGGTGTAGTAATGAAAAGTAAACAATAATGTAAAACATAAATTCTTAGTAAAGCGGTGGGGAGTCTTCTCAGAGAAGGAAGACAATTCTCTCAGTCCACATTTATCTTTGGTAATGGCGCGGCTTGGCTCTTAATATTTCAACAGGTTTTCCGGCTTAATTAACAATCGTCCATTTTAGGGTGTCTGTTTCACCTCTGAACTTAATGTAAATTAGTTTTTAAATATAATAACAGTATTCTATGTTTTTGTGTTAGGTATTATGTATTATGTAGTATTATGTGTTTGAAATTAGTTTAGTTTTTAATTTTAATCCTTTTGAAATTACCCAAACTATGCTTGATTGGGTGCTATGAAGTTAAGGCGTAAAACCTATTGGTTATCAACACCGTTAATTATGTTTATATATATATATATATATAATATTCTAACAGAAAAAGAGTTAAGTCTAATTTGGTCTTTTCTTAAGGTGGTCACGTTTTCTCTTTTATAGGAAGCGATAACACCAAAATTATTTATTCACAATATTACTCAATTTTTCTTCGGTGCATACTATTTATTTTCAAGTAAATTTATTATTAGCCATATTTACACCAATTTTCATTTTGATGAGTAGTCATTAAGTGACAACAAATTTTTTGTAAATTGGTGTAAATATGGCTAATAATAAATTTACTTGAAAACAAAATTATTTAATTCAGATAATTAAAAATTACTTCATAGTAAACTAGAGAAAATTTCCTTCAAATACAAGTAAAGTTTATCTTTGTCAAAAGCATTTAGAGGTAACTTTTGAGCGACCAAACTACTCTAAGTTGTATTATTAAATTAAATCATGGATTATTAGTAAATTTTTTTTAATCATACTACAACTATACTATAGACACCCCACTTTCATAAAAACTTCCTTGTGTATTAAGCTTTAATTACATATCAATTCATTTGAGGTTTGTTTTAGAAGAGTTAAGATCCCCCTCTATTTGTGTGAAAAATTATCTGATTAATTGATCATAAAATTATTCTGTCACTCCAGAGTATCTATATTTTCAGCAGGAATGACAACCGAGAAACTATTACAAAGCTTCAACTCCTTCTTTTACTTGTGATCCAACATCTGTTTTAGGAAATAGATGAAAATTACAATTGTGAAAATACATTTTTTTAAAAATACATTCATTAAAAATATAAGTTAAAAAAATCCTGAGTTTTCAAAAATTTAAGGTGATTTTTGTAAATGTTATTATATCAGAAAAAAAATAACCTCATGTGGATATTACTTACTTAATATTTGAAGGTTTTATTTCCACAATAGATATTTTTTTTATAAAATATGGTCCAATATCATCTTGTCTCCTTGTATTGTAATTGAAGGAAAAAGAACAAGGTTTTGAAGATTGAAATTATTCCAGTAAGTAGGTACTGTACAAGAAAATAAAATCAAACTTGAAACTCTTTTCATTATTACACCTTTGTAGTTCTAAAAGTCTCGTTTTATTTACATTTTCGTTTTATAATTGTAATTTTTTTTAACCTTTCCCTCCCTACTTAAGGGATGTATTGTGAGGAGATAATATTTAAATCAAAAAGGTCTCGTTAAAAAAATTCTTAATGTTTTATGTTTTTGTTATGAATAATTATTTTTCGTTTAAAGAAAACTATAAAAAAAAAAAAAAAATAAGTCCATTATGAATGTGAAAAAAAATATGGCAAATAGATCAGTATTATTTCCTAGGAAATTGCTAGCAATTTTTTTTTAGTTCACAAGAAAATAGGTGTGTAGTGTTGTTGACAAGTACTTCTAAGAGTGTAGGTAAGAAGCTCACGAAATATTATTGAGATAAATTTTCATAGCGAGGGTAGTTCGTGAGCATTTTCCACACAAGATAGCATTTTTTCATATATTTATGGGAAGAAATTTTAATTATTTTAGAAAGAAAGCAAAACCTGGAAATGTTATTTAGTATTACGCAATGCATACCCTAAAGATGATGTACATGCTCGGGCCGAAATTTCAAATGGTAATAAAAACCTTTAAACTTTTTTTAGCCGCACTTAGGTTTAAAAACCTGACAGTATATAATGTGAAAACATACGAAGTACTTATTAACTGGTAGATAGACGTATATGTGACTTCCTGTAATTTAGGTTATTAAATTGTAGTCTATGTATTCACCCTCCTCCACCCGAGGATCAAATCGACCCAGAAATATTCTTAATTTAAAAATAGCAATAATAAAACCTCTTTTAATAAGTAATTACCTACCTCTTTATGTTTTTAAGAAGAAAAAAATTAAATGAAACTTTTTGTCAGTAATTTTTTTGGAGTGCAGAACTAAGGATACGAGAATTATCTTAAATTAAGATGAATACGATGCATACTTGATACACACGCTTCTTGAAATATGTACGGCTCCCTTGGCAAGTTCTCCTCTTCAAAATGGCTTCGGAGAAATTAGTCCTGAAAAAGTAATGAATTGACAATATAGCATCGTTTGCAGCCTTTACTATCGAACCATCGCACGAAATAGAATTCATCTCGTGTGGTTTTATATGTGGTTTCTTCGTAATTTTTCTCATTGTTATTACATGTATTTTCCTGTATTTCTATTTTATTTTTTCACCGCGTTCTCTCTGAGTAAAAATATTTGGTTTAAAAATATTCTATTAGCTTTTATAAATAAATAAAATAAGCTAGGAGCTGTAAGAATTTGAGCAGTATTGTGTTAGGAAGTCCAGGAACATTATTATTTCAAGTTTTTAGCTAAATATTAGTCTTTTTTTATCTAAAATAATAAAAATGCTATCTCAGTCCTATATACGTTCATTATCACTTGAATTCTACCTCATTTCAAACTTACTTGTTTTTTTTCTGTTTTTTTTTTTCCTTCAAACTACCCAATTACTTTTGGAAAATCCTGATAATCTAAATTTTTTAAAATAAAATATTTTTCGTATTAGTATCTTAATATTGTTCTTTCCGAAATATTCATTTTTTTATTAGAATATTTTTAATTTGCGATAAAATAATTCATAATTAATTTTAATTATTAGCATAAACTTAGAGAATTGGAAAAGTTGACTTATTTGTATTGTTTTGTTTTTCAAACTCCAGCGAGTGTTCAATCAATCGATTTATTTAATCAAGCTAAAACTCCTTTTTATAACAAACATATTATCTCTATAATGTATAGCCAATCAAAAAAGATATTTTAAGAAAAAACATCAAAACATAGTACTTAGCTATTTCTATTTAGTATTTTTGAAAAATGGCAAATTTCATTTTGTATATTTACACCAAAGTATAATTGTATGCCAAAATTTTGTGTTTTTTCTTTCACGAACGTATTGCTACCCACACCACAACTTTTGTTGAAAATGGTTAATTAAGTTTTAAAAAATTATAAGGTTATCAAATGTTTCTATTCCTGATAATATGATCGATAGATTTTAATCTACTTATTGCTATCCTCCTTATCAGATTTAATTATATTTTGTTGATTTTTTTTTCTTTTACGTATTTCTTGTTTTTCTATATTTGAAATGAAAATAATTTGAGAACAGAACGAGAATAAACTTCTTTGAGTACCGAATATTCTCTAATTGTTCTTTGAATGCCGAGTATTTTACTCAAGTTTAGTCACAATAATGTCCCCAATCTCTTCAGCTAATCGTCAATCATCAACTGATATAGCGACTAAATTTTCTGTATTCAGCCAAGATCACTCAGTACTTGGTACTTAGAAGAGGTTTTTCCCATGGGTGTACGCAAGAGAGCCCGTTGCCCCACCCCCCAAAATAATTTGAAAAAAGATATTGTAAATAGGTTTGTTGAAAATTTAAGAAATATATACTTTTTAAATTGTTCAACGTAAATATTGTGTTTCAAATAAAAGTATTTATAAATTGTTTTTTGTTTTACTCCCCTACCTCGGTCTGTTAGGCTGTACGGGGTTTTTTCCGGGCCAGGGGGTGAGGGCGGGGGATCTAAAAGACCCCCAGCCACTGAGACGCGAACTCGTAATTGTATTGTTTCGAACTTCGCTTATGAGGTTGTTAGGCAACGCGGTGCTGATCACACACGTTAGCCCGTTCTTCCACCCCGCCCCCGAAAAATATTTGTAAATTGTAACAACAAACTACTTAGTATTATAGTATTCGTTTTGAAATAATTTATTTATCTGTTATTTTCCTTTATTCAGTCTTACTCCCACCCAACAAGAAAGCTACGTACAGCCTTGGGTTTTTCCCATATGTTTGAGAACTTTAACGCATCTCAAGTGGTCAAGCATTAGTATCAAGCAAGACCTATTAATTTAAGATGTTAAAAGGAATTGGATTGTGCACAATCTGCAATAATTTGAACCTTCATTAATTCTTTGCTCATCGAAAGCGAATTTAATCGACAGATTAGGTGAGACATATATGGAACCTATATAAATGCTAATCAATCTTACCCCAAATTGGAAAACCCGAAGCAGGAGGTCACGACAATGCTGACAGGACTGGGTTAACCTCAAGGGGGTTGATGGAACCGGGCATGAAAGGAGGTAGCAGAGCGGGGCTCCATTGTGTTAAGATATATTAGCCAACAATGGCTCCTTTCATAACGGTCTACCTCAGCTGAATTAAATGGAATCTAGCCGTCATGGAACCACCGCGCAAATTATAATGGAACAATCCATCACCTTCCTACTAGTACATTGAATGAAATGTCGAATAAAGTGTAATTATATCAAAAAAGTTATTATTATCTGAATCATCTTTGTCAAATTCTTTTCATTAGGAACCGCATATTGGTCCAAGTGTAGCATTTAAACGTTCCTTCATGTGTTGGTTTTTAAGTATTGCATCAAAGATACAGACTAGTTTTTACATGCTTTTAATTTCGGATGGAACACCGTGACCAGTATCCAATATAGAAATCGAGTACTTACTTGTTGCTAGACTGCTAGACAAGACAGTAACTATTGCCTTAATGATGACCCACATTCTTGGGTCGAAACGTCGAAAATCCGAAGAGAAAGTCTTCACTCCCTAAAATTCAGATAAAACAAACTAAGCCATCAACATTTCGCCAACCAGGCAATTATTAGGACTGATAAAAACCCCAACCACATATATCCAGATAGTACATCACTTATAATATCCAAACAAATTTTTTTGTGATGATGTCTGAATTGGCGAAACGTTGACGGTTTATTAGTTAATTTGAGACTCAAAGCTTTCTGTTTGGATTGTTTCCAATTATAATCTAATAGTTAATTGTAATATTTTTTTGTAGTATCAAAAACAAAATAAATTTTTAATTATTATTTTAGTCTTGACAACACTGTAACGATGTGTACTTAATCATTTACTTATTTTCATTAAATCAGCATAACAACTCTTGTTGGCTATGTGCCTAGTTGTTCTTCTCAGCATCTGCTTCTTTCAACCATGGCATTTTAACCTTGCACTTTGTAGCTGGTATTATTCCTGAATCAAATTACTTCCTGTGTTCCTATCAATTTTTTTTTATATACTTATTAGAACAATTTTTAAAAATATATAAAAATAAAAAATCGAAATTTGAGTTAGTAATTCTAGTTTTTTATCCAGTGTTAAAGACCAGTGGCCTCTACTGTGATCAGAGAGACAATAGAAGTGGGCAGTGAAATTTGGAGGGCAACAGATTTCGATAAAAATTACTTTTGTACTTAAGTAAAGATATTTCTTTTTAGTTTTTGGTCATTGTGACCTTAATTATTATTGTCATTATCTCATAATATTTATTTTGAAATTAATTACCAGGAATATTGATATGAAATGCTGACTTTTGTTGAGAATGAAAGAAATTAAGCTTGACTCTCCTGGCAAATCTTAGTCTCTGATCAAGACGATCAAAGCAATAAACATTGCACAGCCTCTGGCAAAAAACAACAATAATAAAATGAATTAAAAAGTACAACTTGAAGGCCATAAATATAACATTTTGTTTTTATGATTCTTCGATTGTCTTATATAAATATTTTTTAACCATTTCAATCATTTCCTTAATCTTTAAGTTAAGATATTTTGGGAACTCGGGCTTCTACTGCATCATTTTGCTATAGGGAGCTCTATATGGACGTTTAGTAATGTTTGTTATAGAAATAAAATTGTATTAAATTAAAATTTCAATGTAAAAATGAAAAGCATATGGGAAACATCTTTCAGACCCATTTTAATTTAATTAAATTGATTCAAGTAATCATTGCTCTAATACTACTATCCAACTGCACTACATACACTTGGTGGATACAACAGGAAGATATCCTTGGGCTTGTTCATCTTGACTACTTAAATGATTTGAATGTATTCACTCTATCTTTATAGACTCAAATCTTAAAGAAGAGTCCTTGATAGGGCAACATAAAATTTATATTACAACTTACTTTTTTTTTTTTCAGGTGAAGCCTGTCATCCTTATGAACCATTTAAGTGCCCGGGAGACGGAGCATGCATATCAATCCAATATTTGTGCGACGGTGCTCCAGACTGCTTAGATGGCTACGATGAGGATTCTAGGTTGTGTACCGCAGGTATAGTACTTGGGTACTTTCTTATTTATTAGTTTTAGGAAATTAGATATAATGATACAAGATTCTTGAGGGCATATGTTCTATGAATGAAAAAGCAAAGTTCTGTGTGATTTATTGAATACTATGTAAAATTTTGTAATATATATATATATATATATATATGTATTCATTGGTAACTCTCCTTTTCACCAGTCTTCTTGCTAGTTACTCCCTGCGTAGCTGTGGCCTAAGATACTTCTTGAATGGCTTTGTCTACCTTAACATATCATTTAGCCTATTCAAGCTTACCAAAACTGTGTTGTATTACAATATGACCAGCTCATAACCAAGCTATGCTCTCTCCTTCCCCAACCCCCTCTAGTAGTTATATTTCCAGCAATGTTGCCAGGCTGTTATAAATGATATACATTATAAGGACATTAATCATCTAAATTGAATATTTATTGTATAAATTAAAAGTAAGTTTACGATTTCTATCTTTCAATCAAATTCTCCAGCTAGTCATAATATTAATTTATTTACAACCAATATTATACATTACAAGGTAGAGTGTAATATATGAACTTCTATATTTTGTTTAATCTCTAAATACATTTGGAATAGTTTTGTTGTCTTAGTAAAACAAATCTCATTAATTGGTATACAACTTTAATGAGAGCCTTTTTTCTTTTATAATTACTTATACTGGAAACTTCTCTAAATAATCGTGGTTGACATTTTTACATAAATAAAAATCACACTATACTTGTGTGCCTTCAAGAATCCAGTTTGTGTTAAACTATAAAACATTTTCAAAGATATTCATAACACCAGTAAACTGATAATGAAAAGAAAGCAGAATAAATGTTATGTTTTTCATTCTATAAAAAACTGATATAAAATGTCATATTAACGGTTTGTCATCAGGCTTTTATAAAAATGTAGCTACTTCCTCAGTATGTATTGGTGCTTTGAATATCAGATAATTCTATATAGTATACCATATCTTAAAATTTTAAATTGACTTCAACAAATGAATTTAAGGAATATTCTAGGCATGGATATTTATAAATTTTTTCCAGCTGAAATGAAGAAGTTTCTACTCTCACGTTACAGGTTTAAAATTTATTAAAGTTTTAATATATATGTGATCCATTTTTGAACTATGATTTTTTTTTATTATTATGAATTTTAAATCTTGAAACCTGATCTATGTGCTGTAATATAGGTATTGTTTTGATTAGCCAACATTTCAAAATTCTATTTACCTCAGGCCAAAAGGTAAAGTACTGAGTTGTATTATGTAAATATATACGTCCTTCTAATAATTTGCCTGAGGATAGTTAAAAGCAGAAATAAGTATCATGTGATGCAGCTAAACGACCTCCGGTGGAAGAAACATCATCATTCCTTCAATCACTGATCGCTAGCCATGGACCTAACTATTTGGAGAAACTATTTGGAAGTAAAGCTCGTGATGCTCTAGCACCTCTTGGAGGAGTTGAAAAAGTTGCAATTACTCTTTCAGGTATAACTAAAAGTATTTTCTAGTATTAATTGAACTTAATATAAATTGCTAATTATCCTCCTATCTTCAAGAATCCTAACAAAAAAATTAAATTACTTAGTGTTTGCAGTCTGTTTATTATTAAGGCTCATTTGCCGAGCAAAACTATTTGTGAAGAAAGAAAAATGCTTCCACCTTGTTATAAACTGAAATTTATCTTTAATATTCAATCTTTTAAAAAAAACATATATTATTATAAGCCTTTTTAACTTATATTTCCTTAATCCTAAAATGGTAAACCTCTATATAGGTGCATTAATACTAAAACTTTATCGTTTTGACTGCCAGAAGCAAAATAATCACATATTTGTGATAATTTAATAAAGATGATATAAAATTGATAATACAATAATGGTACAACTATGAGAAGTAAATGTAAAAAATAAAATATGTCTAAGTACAATATAATTATATAAAAATGATCCTTGTATTTTCAGTTTACAAATTGTCAAATAAAGTTCAGTGCAGTTTTCTATAAATTTCCCTACTTTAAAGAAGTGAAAATAACAATATTAGTTTGATTTTTTCTTTGTTGCTAAACAACAAATACTTATTTTAATATGTTTTAATTTTTATACTTTTAATTTTACAAGGCTATAAGAGAAAAGGGATAATTTAAATGTATGTTATATTTCATTAATTAAAATTGATTTCAAGCATTAAAGTATAGATCAGATCATCTTTCTTGTTAAAATTAATTTAACAATAATAGTTGTTTATTAATAAAAGAAGTCAAACTTGATTTTAAACATTAATACACCTTTTGAATGATAAATGTATAATTATTATTGTAAATTGCATTATTATTATAAATTATTACTAATATTAATAAACTCCTTGAATTATTAACCATTCATACATCAGCATTGATTTTAAATCTAAGTTGAAATGATGAAAACATTTTATTTGTAATACTAAACCTTTGTCGAATCAAGGAAGCCATACCTCAATATAATATGTGATTTTTTTTTTTTTTTTTTTTGTGGTTCAAGGTATACTGAGTTCTTGGAAGCCTTTCTAACTGAATATACAAAGTTTTTAACAAGAATTGTTTAGTCAGCTTCATCAATTCAATAAAGGCTTATCATTATAATGTTAATCAAAGTTTAACTTAGTTTGATACAAGCCAAGTCATTATTTGAACTGGTGAACTTTTTGTTTCTGATCCTATGCCTTTGCAGCTTTTATAACAGTCTTTGTATAAATTACAGTTATTTTAAAGTATCAACTAGTTATAGATACAAACTGACCCCAAATGATAAAAATTATATGATAAATTAAAAAAATAGTTAGTATTCATCAATATTTTTTTACTGTATATTTATTTTTGTTGTGTTTATTTTAACAATACGACAACGTTAATAAAAGCCGGTAAAGAACTAGGACTCAAAATAAACGTGGATAAAACAAAATATATGGTTAGTTGCAAAAATGGCTATACTACTGGTGATATCGATATAGATGGTAATATTTTTGAACAGGTAGATAAATTTAGGTATCTAGGTTCTACGATAACTATAAAAAATGAAATTGAAGAAGAGATTAAGGTTAGACTGAAGGCGGGAAATGCTTGTTATTTTTCTGTGACAAAACTACTTAGTTCGCGCCTCTTGTCCCGGAACTTAAAAATTAGAATTCATAAAACAATTATCTTGCCTACAGTTCTTTATGGATGCAAAACTTGGCCACTTATATTAAGGGATGAGCAGCGTCTTAAGGTTTTTGAAAATAAAGTATTGCGTAGAATATTTGGACCGAAGAAGGATGAGTTAACCGGAGAGTTCAGATGGTTATACAACTGTATCCGGGTAATATAATTGAGGTAATTTCATCACGGCGAATCAAATGGGCTTGTAAAGTTGTTGGGCTTAGTAACGAGAGAATTCCTAAAAGGTTAATATTTGCTGTGCCGAATGGTAAGCGTCCGAAGGGTAGACCGAAGCGAAGGTGGGAAGATTGCATTAAAGCTGATCTGAAGGGACTGGGTTTGGATGGCGAACAGTGGAGGGAGGTGTGTAGTAGGCGATTGGTGGTGTCGGCATCAAACCTTCGGGTTCTCTAAGCCTTTTAGTATTTAGTATTATTTCAACATTACTTTTTTTAAATTATATTTTAATTTAAATTATTTAAACTTGAAACTTCTCTTTTTATATTTCCAATATTTTAGCTAAGACCACTCCAAAGTCCATATTTTGTTTTATTTATTCATAAATAATCAATTAATTATCATTTTATAGAGTCACAAACTATTGAGGATTTTGGAGCAGCACTTCATCTTATGAGGTCAGATTTGGAGCACCTGCGTTCGGTATTTATGGCTGTCGAGAATGGAGACTTGGGAATGTTGAAGAGCCTTGGTATTAAAGATTCAGAGCTGGGTGATGTTAAATTCTTTCTGGAAAAACTGGTTAACACTGGTTTTCTTGATTAAGCAGTATTTTGAGATCAAAGACCCTCCAGAATCTCTGATCAATTTAACAAATCAACGATACATTTCTCTTGAATTTATTTATAAAAATTATTCTGAAAGTTGTAAATATTTCCTGCCATCTTTCTTCCAAAAAATCGAGAAAAAAAAATCTTCTTATTCTTTATGTTATGTTACATAAGGTAGCCATAGGATGTGTTAAATATCTAATGTTTACAAACATATCTTAAATTAAACATATCAATGTAATCGATACATATCAAATGAAGTGATGTTATGATATATTAAATATTTTTAAATACTTTGATCCCTTGTGCTAGGTTTCCTCAGCTAATGCAGCTTTATGTAAAGTGCTTTTAGAATAGCTTTTAAGAGATTACTTTTTGAACATTTGTTACCAAATTTAGGAAAGTGTGTGATACTTCTATATTCACTTCACACAGCCACACTGATAAATAAATATTATTTGCTTATTTTGTCATCGATGATCACTAGCAAGGCAATAATTTGAGATTGCGTATATATCATTGGAAAATTACTTCCTTTGAGGGAACAAACATATAATGCTTTAACAAATATAATTATGGAATAATCTAAAAATAGTATGTAGATTTTAATGGAATTAATCGGCATAATCTTAATATTTAAAAACACATTGGTAAAACTAACATATCAACTCCGTCCTACAAAATAAAAACACTTATTTTCAAAATATCTTTAAAATGTGACTATTACATCTATGAAAATTATTACCTCAAAGGAGTCTCGTTTTAAAATCAAAAAAGTCAAAAATTAGATTAGCAAATAATGAAACAATATTTATATTCCTGTTAGTTGATGCTATTGGATGATTTCATAAATTTTAAAAGATACTTTTTGGAAAAACTGTTTTGGAAAATGTATATAGGTAAACCAATAACACTTATGTATACCTATTGAACATTTATCAGGCTGTGGTCCTAATAAATAGTGAGATAAAAAAATAATATTTATATAACTTCTGCATGGTTATAAATATATTATGTCTAACCATTATAATGTTTGTACTGTTTCTTCATCAGTTACAATTATTATATTCATTAAGTTGAAAATATAAAATTAAACAATTGTCAATTTGTAATATAATTAATGTTCAGCTGTTATATATATATTATATATATTTAGAACTCAAACACCAGTAAAATAAGAAAAAAACATTTAGTACTTAATCTGATTGTTGTGTGATAAATATTTTAAATAGAACTTATAATATCTCTTAATTAATTGTTTTCTTCAAGCTTCGTAAAATAGCTTTTAGCATGATAACTGTTTTAGAATTAATTAATTAAGATAGAAATACTTAGCTCAAGGGATCCCTAAGGATAATTCTATTTCTATTTGACTGTAATCCATAATTTAAAATAAAACATATCATTTTATTACATATCAACCAACTGAGAAGAAACACAGCAAGCAGAAAAGAATAATCTAGATAACGGCCTGACACTGAATGATATCTTAGACAGTGCCTACTGTGTTTTTTCAAGAAGATATATGTAGTATATTGTTGATTTATTATATATACATATAAATATATATTGTTTTCTTCAAGTGTATTTTAAATATAACAACTAAAATCTCTGTATTTTCGCACTATATTAATTTATTTTCCATTCCATACCTAATTAAACTACCAATACATTGAAAAAAAAAAAAAGTGTAGTCATTTTTAGTATGTAAAATTTTTGTGAAGAAATGTCAGCCCACCATTGATGGATTAGACGAAACATTAGAAATTGTTAAATTTAATAAGTTTTAATAGTATTTTGAAAATAATATATAGAAACTTTCTGTTTCTCCCAATATAAATTTATTTTTTAAAAATATATAGAATGCATTCGTCATTTGTTGAGTTGTATTATTAGAATTAAAGATATGTGTATTATCTTGTGTTTTGTTGTTTGTAATAATAAAGAAGCAATTTTTCAACATAATTAAATTTTTCATCAATTGAATGAATATGTTCAAGAATTAAATAACTAATAGAAATTTTAATCATATTCTTCAAAATAGGACTATAAATTGGAAAGTGTATGACAGGAAATTAGAATAATATGAAAATCAAATATATTCTTGTTGACAGTTATTTTAACACCACACCTTGGGCAATCATAGCAGCTAATCAGACTGATTCTTGAATATTTCATATTTGCTAAGATGTGGGCCTTACTCACCATAGGTTTTTGTTTTTCTAAATTTAATATTCTACTAAAGGATCGAGAAAGCAGAAAATACCATTATTTAAAAATTATTTATATTGTTTACTAACATATCCTTTTTGAAAAATCTAACATGATCAAACTATTTATACTATTTTTTAAAATGTTTTAATGGATATATCGGATGTCCCCAAATTAACGCAAGATTTAAATTAAATACAAAACACAGTTCTTTCTTCTTTTGTTTCCTTTTTATTTGTAAATTTAACAGCTAATAGTTAAGGGTTAATAAAAATGGAGCGTTATACGAGCTAACAATGTGTTTTCATTTTTGAAAAATATTTTTAAAATAATGAAAGTCTGGTGACCACAGTTCAAAAATTTCGTATAAAATAAGGTTGGAATAGTGATTTAACTTCATCACCTGTGAAGAGAGTAGTTGATAAAGTCAAGCAGGCTGGATCAATTGGTGATATTAAACACTCAGTGATGTAGACCAATATTTTAAAAATAATGAAAGTCTTGCGGCCACTTGTCTTGCTTCGATATTGACACTTTAGCGGCTTGTTTTTGGACGACCAGTGTGTTTAACATCACCAATTTATTCAGTCTGCTTGACTTTCTCAACCACTCTCTTTACAATTGATAAAGTTAAATCACTATTCCAACCATATTTTGTACGAAATTTTCGAGCCCATTATTTTAAAAATATTTTTCGACAATGAAAATACATTGTTCGCTCGTATAACACTCAATTTCTAATAACCCTTAACTATCAGCTGTTAAATTGACAAAGAAAGAGAAAATACAAGAAGAAAGAACTGTGTTTTGTATTTAATTTAAATCTTGCGTTAATTTTAGGACACCCTATATATGTTAATGGCCATCAGTAAGTATATAATGACATTTGATTTCCTAATGCTCAATTGTAGGTTTATACCCATTTTCACATGATAGAATAAATTACAATAACCCTCGAATTGAAGAAACCACTATTTAGGATTGTTGAAATCTTTTGTGTAAAGAACTTTAAAAAATGTAAGCCCTAGTTACGTACCCATATTATCATCACCCAATGTGTGCACATTTAACTGGATAAGAGGAAATCAAATTGTATAGCATGGTTTATATTTTTTTATCACCTCTTAATAAAAAAAAAAAAAAATACTTAAGACTGGAAAATAGCACTAAAAATGCCTATTCATAAGAATCTGTATAAATAAAGGAGATAAGTATCTGTGTGGCAACCATCAGAAAATATTGTTTTACAGTGTCGCTCTAGAGTACTTGAGAGAAGAGAGGTAAAATTTTATAATCAGCTTAGAGAAGAATAGTGTGGCTTCATGGGTCAATGAAGCATGAAAGACCTCATCTCCAACATGCAACAAATAATGGAGACGAATAAAGAGCTTTCTTTCTGCTTGGAGGATTTCCAGAAGGTTTTCAACCAATTGAAAACCAGCCACAAGGCTCTTAGGACCCTTTACTCTTTAGTGCCTCTTCCTGAGAGTACTACAACTTACTTTTACCTCTTTTACTGCTTATAACAAGAAACAGTTCTTTATGGACAGTAAAAAAAAAAATTAAAATGTCATAAAATGAACAAACAAAACTTCTTGTTCGTATAGGTCCTTTTTTTTTTTGATGATTAATAAAAATAACAGTTTTGACAAGAATGAAATGAATTTATTCAGACCTTATTCAAATATGAAGTATAAATTATTTTTCAATTTATTAATATCATTCTATTGCACATAAATGATTATTTTAAATTGCACTTTTGCTATCATTTATTAGTAAATTATTATTTGCACATATTATTTTAAATAGGTTATTTGAACTGATCATTTTGTCAAAAATTTAAAGTCAATACTCAAAATCATTACTAAAATTTTTCTTGCTTAAATATCCAATTAATAGTTAAATATCCAATGGAATTCAATCTGTTAGCTTCATTATGAAGGTTGATACAACAAACAGCACGAGTAATGAACAAGAAACTGAAACAAAAATAGAAGTAGTTATTCTGTTGAGAAAGGTATGTTGAGACAGTATTGATATATAGAGAGGATGAACAAAAGAAGATAGATATCAAATATTTGTATAAATATTATTAAGTATAAAGATGGGATAGTTGGAAGTAGTCGACCTGAGGGAAGGAAGCTCAATAAGATAGATAAGGACATTTTTAGTAGAAGCTAGCTTAGGCGTATCATAATTAATAACAAGACACATATCTATAAATTTTTAAAAAACGGCTCTCAAAACAAATCTCAATTATGGGAATATCAATATTCAGCTCTTTTGACTAATGAGTTGGCTAACCACTGGTAGAGACCATGGGATGACCTTCGACATAATGAAACTTAGGGTAGGGACTATGAAGCACAAGAATTTGAAATGACATTAGGTATTTGCCAATATTGTAGTTTAACTCCGCTACTCTTCATAACAGCTTTAGACCTGGCATGAACACAAGCTAAACTATAAATGAGGCAGCCCCAGTTTAGCAAAGAGGATTATGTAATTATGAGTTATATAAATCCTATAACCCACACAATTTCCTGTTACCATTTGTTGATGACCTTGCCGTGCAAGCTGCCAAATACTGATACCTCCAATACAAAATATTTTTTTCCCAAGAAGTAACTAGTAAATTTTTATTATTACTCTAGGATAAAGTGACTTGGAAATTAAGACAAGGAAGCAACTCAAAGTACTGAATCAGTTGGGAGAGTATTCTGTTTGTTCAAGAGGTATTCCCTCATTGGAAAAGAAGTGACAAAGAAATAAATAACAGATTTAAAAATGATTTTCACTGTATCTGTTTTAGAGATCTGACTTGATATTTTTTAAAAATAAAACTTTGATAAATTTATTTAAATAAAGTATAAATTTAAATAAACTTTGAATATTTTAGAAGATGAGTTTGGTTGGAGTGTTCAGTCACAAATAAAAATAAATAAATTATATTCATTTATATTTTTCATGACATTTTGTCCTAAGGTTCAGGCCATCAGTGCTGCTCTAACGAAAGGGCCCATAAGACCAATAATAACTGTTATGGAATCTTTTGTTAGAGCACTCCTGAACTTTGGGCCGAAACATTGGCAAAAATAAATATAATTTATTTATTTCTCTTCAATATATCCACGACAATCAATTATAAATCCACTAATTTAAATATTTTAGTTGAATAAGAGTATAGATCACATAATTATAGAAGAAGAGAACATACACACAAGCACTGAAGGAATCATGCATAGATGCGCTAAATACTTCAAAAACCTCTAAATGAAAATACAAAAGGCGGGGAATCTGAACTTATCATATATTTACCTGATCACAGAGGAGGAAGATTTTAGCAGGGAGGAAGAACTTGTGGATGCTGTATTATCTCTCTGAGAATAGGAATCACAGTAGAAATAAAAGTATTCCAGTATCTATTGTGTTACTATAAAATCTTAGCAGATTTTAGAACATATAATGTTGGTTCGAGACACAGTCACAAATCAAGGTGCAAGTGCAAAATGTATGCAAATCTAGCTCAAGAAGGGAGACTTGTTCATAGCACTAGTATTTCATGATAGAAATGTTTAGGTGTCATTTTAATAAATATAAATTAAAAATAGCTATATTTTCAACCACCACAAAACAAGGACTCCAGCTGTGGTATTTTCAACTCTTCGGGTGGTTAGCCATCGAAGCCATCCTAAACTTAAAATACAGGTTCTCGTAATATTACGATTTTTGGTAATTTTTATAGCTTTCACTTACAACTTACTCAAAACTTACAAATACCCACTTACCAGTGGAGGAAGGACAGATAATTATCACATTAATTTCATTTAAAATTTTTAAAAATCTCCTATTCTAATCAATAAAATAACTAAATAGATAAAGATATGATCTAAAAATATTATGACACTGGCAAAAACCAGATAATTCAATGCAACGTATAGCTAAATAATTGGCAAGTTTATAAAGAATTAAATATATCTGACAACTGATGAAAGTATATGGAATGACAGCCCGGACACCGTATTTCTGTGTTTGAATTTCAGATCAAGCATAGTAATATTTTGGTTACCTACATAAACAAACGTAAAACTTTGAAGTTAAAGTTAGAAAAGTAAAAGTTAGAATTATGCTACACTCCTTTAAAAAAATACAATAAAAGGGCTAAAAAATATTATTTGAACAGAATATGGTAAAAAATAAGACTGAATAATTTCAGAACCACTAATGAAAACAATACATTTATTTGATCAACATAATGCTTTTTAAACATATAAATGTGAGTGTTTACATATAAATAAAATAACAATTTCAAACATATATCAATAATTTATATAGGCAATAGGCAACAACTTCAAAGCCGTTATAACTTCAATAAACAATACATTATCAATAATTTATATACAAAACAATAATATCTTACACTAAAGGGATATTCACAATGTTTTTTTTTTAATTTCTTATCATTCTTTTTTTCTAATCTTAATTTCATTATTGTTATTATCTAATTGCATAAATTAAAATGAAAGATTTTGTAGGAAGTATAAAAAAATAAATAAAAAAAAATCTATTTACAAAAATTTCAATAAATTTGCCACTTATTAAGAGAGAGAAAAAATTAGGAGAGGGATGATAGATTAACAAATTTTCCTCTTTGAGGTTAAGATGAATCAAGAAACTGGACAAGTATTACGTTTAGCCTCATTTACAATATCATTCAAGCATCATAGCGCAATTAGAGTGATTTGATTTAAACGGTACTAACAAAATATGTATCACTAACAAAAACAAAATTAAATACTTCAAAAACTATATCAAAACAAACTGCTCTGATTAAATGTATATTTAACACAGATAAAATCAAATTAATAGAATGTCAATAACCAATGTATATAGAGATTTTAAAATGAAGAAATAAATTTTAAGAGGGTTGAGGATGAAAAGTTACTTTAAAGCAACCAACCCCATTTCTAATTTAAAAAAATTATGCCCTGCTTTTATACGTACATATTTATTAATAAAAAAACATATATCATATAATATATGCTTATATACAATTAAGAATAAAAGCTATTTGATTGATTTTCTAGTGATATTTTAATTCAAAAGAATTAAATAGTTTTTCCCCACAGGACTTATCAAATACTACTTTATTTTATAATATTAACATCTAATTTCAATGTATCACAAAAGTAGTGTATTGGAAAACATGCATTCATTGAATTAAATATTAAATATAAACCAATGAAAAAGAACTTTTTCATTTATTTATACAATAATCATGAATAAAGAACAAGTTCATACAAACTATGGCTTAAAAAAAATATATGATAAATAAATTAATGACATATAGAAGCAGGTCAATGAAACCGATATAAATTATATTTCAAAACAAAATTAACAGTTCATAAAAAAAAAAAAAAAAAAAAAACAATCAGCAAGACAACTTACAGTAATGTATTTTAAGTCTTTTTCAAACAAATGTATTCTAAACTTTAATTCTAAAGATATTGCATATTATTATTATATGTGTGGGATGTGAGTGTACATAACAAGGTAATCACTATACATACATATTAACACATGTATATATAAAACTTGGTACAATGATAAAGAGTATATTGTTTAAACAACCCACAATTCAAATAAATCTTATTTATTTAGGTAACAAGCCCGATTAATAAATTAATAGCTACTTTTACATTAAGAAAACTAGTACAAATTTAAGAAAACATTTTCTATTTAGACAACCCCCATTATAAAACATGTTAGTATTAGAAATTATGTGCAATTTTACACATAAAATACCAAATTAACACCTGGAGAGAATATTTTCCAACTTCAATTTTACATTACAAAATGTTTGCTCAAGGAAAAAGAACTCCTTTATGTACTTTAAGAGGAATGTGTGAGTGTTCCTTACTATCAGAAGTTTGCCTATCAATTATGTCTTAAATTTATTTTAACTTCGATAATACATATTAAAAAAAAAAAATTACAAATGCAGTTTTACTCTCAATTAAAAATACTGAAATCAATATCCAAAAAGAAAACTAACAGAGTTGGAAAATGCTAGAAACTAACATAAAAATTTAAGGAAACAGTCGAAAGCAAATAATAAAAAATATATACAGGTTAAACCTGAGATTAAATGAGAAACGTGACTGATTAAATGATAATTTTAATACAACTCTACAATATCTAAATTTATCAAAGGAAGAACAATATGTAAATTCTGTATATACATAAACTAAGACAAAGCCTGATTTACTTACGTTATTCACTTAAAAATAAGTGAGAAAAAACATACCCGACCAACTTTAATATGAAATAAGGCATTATTTCTAAATATTGCATGCAATTTGCTAGGTGGGCAAATGGAGACAATTTGATAAGTTTGGGAGGCAGATTTGATTGATAATTAGGTGTGATTCAACGGAGGTCGGGGTTATCATTCACTTGTTTTTTTATACGTAGAAGGATGGTTGTGTACCATTGATCCAGTCGAGAAATAGAATCATAATCTTTTACTGCTTCCGTAAAGCCATCAGCATTTTGTTCTTCTATGTGATCAATTAGAACCTGGAATAAAATAGCACAGTAAGATATATAGTTTTAGTTATATTTTCATAACAAGGAGTTAAATTATAATTGTATTACACAACAACAATACAACTAACATCTTGAAATTTAAATTATCCTTTCATATTTGAAGAGTCTTGGAATCAGAACTTAGTACATAAGTTCTGTTTCTTGGTTACTGGTTGAGCAAGGAGATAATTAGGCAGAGATCACACTTAACCACTAGATTTTCCCTTTGAATTAATTTTTTAATTAAGAGTACCTCAATAGAGGCAGGGTGAGTTCCAGAAGGGTCTCCCGACCCCAGGTTCAATGCATAGTGTGACAGATTAAACAATTATCTGCCACAACCAGCCTCAAAGCCAGGATCTAGAGACAAAAAGCACAGTGCTAACATGCTCCCGGATGAAAATCATACATACGATTGAGGCTGCATTCTTTAAATAATAAAAAATTTTGCTAATAACTTAATACAATAATGTATCAGGAAGGTATGCTGGAAACTAGAGAAAAGCACTCTAATGTGATGTGTAGTATTGGCACTCCTGTTGTGATTTTATATTTTTGAAGACAGCTTATTTAATTTATTAATAAAAGCTGAAAAAAAAGATATTTTTTGGATAGAAGTTTTGAAGCTAGAAAAGTTTTATTAAAGTTTAAAATATAGGATTGGTTAGTAAGCCCCTTGCTGTCAGTAATGTAGCAGGTATCAAAGCCAACAATTTTAATTATACTTAAAAATGCAGGATAATATAATGATGAAATTTTTGTAAATATATTTTTAGACAAAAATTTTGAAAAACAATTCTTTCCAAATTTTTAATACCAATCATAAGTAATAGTAAGAATCTGGAATAAAACGTTACAAAATATTTTATTAGATGTAAGGGATTTGTTATTGGTCAAAAAAGATTCAAATTTAATTATGCAAAAGCAGAAAAGGATACTTGAATGAATATATATATATATATATATATATATATATATATATATATATATATATATATATATATATATATATATATATATATGCTTATATGCTTATATGCTTATATATATATATATAAGCAGGTTGTTGAAAGTATTTAATTATTTTTCAAAGGAACTTGACCTTTGGCATGTCATAAATAAGACATGTCACTATTCCAATATTTGCAGAGAATTTAACAGTTTTTCTTTTTTTACTTTCCTACCTATACTAGGTAAGGAAAGTATTGCAATTGGGTCAAATTTTCGATATGCGGTTTATGACAGATCTATACGTTTCAGAGCCCTCTGAGCCCGAAAAACACATATTTAGCCTGTTTTTTTTTTAAGGTAATGAAATTCCCTACAAAATTGTATAAAAATCGTACATTTCGGACAACTATTAATGAAGTTACAGCTATTCAATTTACAACGTAAGATTGCGGGTTCATATCATGGTGTCAGAAAGGAGTGAATGAGAGAAAAAAAATGTGTAAGTGAAAGTAAGAAAATCTGTTGCCCGTATCAGACAAGCTTCATTATTTCCTTTTAACAGAAACAGCAATATTAGAGAGTATTTTTACGCTGATCTACCTTAAGCCATGGCCAGTCATCAATAGCAGCACACAGCACTTCTTGAGGAAAGCGCTCAATTGCCCGGACCAGATTGTTTGAGGCTTTTCAAGTTAGGATGTGCTCTGTGGCATGCCATCCTCTCCAGCTCGCACCAAAGCCGATAATCTAGTGGGTTAAGATCAGGGCTTCCTGAAGGCCAACCCGAGGCAGAGATGAACTCTGGAATGTTCTTTTGCAGCCACTGCTGAGTTGACCTGGCCTTGTGAGCTGGAGCAGAATCCTGCTGAAAACCCAATGACTTCCAGCAAACAGAGTATCATTTAGAGGCTTGAAAACAAAACCCAAAATATTGTCCTAATAGTTTTTAGCGGCTGTTTTAACTCCTTCTTCAGAAAAATGGAGCTTTGTGGTGGCATCAAAGAAAACTCCCCACCAAACCATCACTGAGGAAGGTGCTCTTTTACTCTTCCAATGATTTCCTGAGCTTCTTTAGGGCTGTACACAAGATCATTTTGGCGATTAAATTTTTCTTTAATTATAAAACTTTTCTCATCGCTAAACAAAATCTTTTGATGAAGAACATTGATGTAATGACCAAGTAGCACTTTGCATCTATCCACTCAATTTTTTTTTAGGGAAGTGGTTAGCCTTTGTCCTGTCATTGTTAGAAATGCACCCATCCTAAGATCACTTATTATTATGTGGGACATTGATCTGACAGAGATTCCCATTTCCTGAGACATGATTTATTGTTTTCGAATGGGATTTCTTCTGATTCGAGCAGCCACTGCTCTCACTACATTTGCCGTTCTCACAGTACAGGGACGGCATGGTCGAGGTCTGTCACATTCAGATAGAGTCTCATTATATCTATTTACAGTATGGCACACGAACATACAGCTGATACCCAAAGGTTTCAAAGTGTTGAAAATCTCTGACCTACATTTTCCAACTTTGTGTAAGGCGATCACAGCTATTCGGTTTTCTTTATCACCCCACTCCATGTTAACTGAGTGAAAGAAAAATAAAAACTAATTGGGATTATTATCCTGACAAGTAAAGAAAATAACCTGATAGAGGATTATCTATATAATACCCAAGGATGTAAACAAAGTTCAACTTTCAATAACAGTATTTACAGCAGAACAAGGTAGGCTTATTAAAAAACACCTAGTGGTCAATCGATTAACTCTAGTGAGTAAATCTATGTTAATAAAAAATAATTTTTAAGAGTTTTCATTTCTGTTCTATGATGAATAATCAATAACATAGTAATAATATCATTAGACTGTTATTCACAGTGTGAGGAAGAAATTTAAAGATTACATAGGCAGAATGGACACATGCAGGCCATACAATTTTTCTTTGTTTAAATTAGAATTTAAAAAATAAATCAACAAAGAATCAAACAATTAAAAGTTCTAAAAAATTCTACCATTTGTTTGTCAACCTTGTTTCTTAAAATCATTAAATTATAGTTTGCCTTTTGAGAAATTATGAAATAAAAATCATTGGAGTATTCATTGAAAAAGTAACTGTTGAAATCTAAATTCATCTTGGAAATCAGAATTTTTTTTTCTCTCCCCAACTCATAAAATATTAAAAGTGGCACAGCATGGTAAAGACAAGGGCCTTCTTTTGCCAAAAACATTGCAAGGTTGACAGTGAGAATTAAGAGGTATACATCATTATTTAAATATGTCCACTGTAGAAAAAAAAAAAAAAGAGGCTAGAAGAATTTTTATAAATTAAAAAAATTATATCATATCATACCAGCAACTGTAGCACTGAAAGTTTGTTTTAAAAATGAAAAATGTGATATTAAACCATAGATTGAATTCAGGAGAATAGGGAATAAAAACAAGTGACATAAACATAAAAGAGGATGAAGCCAACATATACTATAAGAGCCCACAAAAATGCAATAGAATGGAATACTTTGTATTAAAAGTAGCAGAATAAACAAATAATTAAAATTAGTCAGTATTCTTTGACAATTTTTTTTTCAAAATATAATTTCCACAACATTATTAATGAATGTTCACCAAAATTTACATATAACTATAATGTTATGATAGTATAAATATTTTTCTTTGATTTAATTTTTATTTCCTACTATTTGAACATTAATTTTATTTTTTAAATCCTTTTGAAACATGGCATCATTGTTAGTTACTTATGTCCAATTGCAAGATTAAATTAATGATGCTGACTATGTTGTGTCTAAAATTTTAATTGTTCTGTCCATAATTGGCATAGTGACATAGCCATAACGTTGCCACTGTATAAACAAAAATAAAAATGGTGACATAAATACAGCCAATACCTTTTATTAAAATTCTTCATTTTTATTGTTATTAACAATAGCAAATAACGAAAAATCTAGAAAAAACACAAATTTATTCACACTGCTTAACTATTAATTTATAAATATGTCCTTAAGTAGAAAAAGGTTGGGGCCTATAGGGGAATATGACTAAATAAATTAATATAAATAATAACATTATAATAAGCTGATCTGAAGGTTTCAACTTTCAATATTAAGTTACAAATATGTAGGGAGCGGGGTGGCCAGGAGATTAATGTGTGTGTAAAACATACGTTTCTCAGCAACCTTGATAAACCAAAGATTAAGAGTTCAAGTCCCAGTGCCTGACGGACTTTTAACTCTGATATTAACCCCCCTGCATTTCTCCTGTCCCAGAAAAAACCGCACATAGCCGAGCAGGCAAGGAAGAGGGCAGAAAAAAAAGTTAGAAATGTTTATAAAGCTTCAAAAGAAAGAAACCAACTATTGTATCTGATATTCTCAAACTTAAATAGCAATCAAATTCTACATGACTAAAAAATATATTGATATTTTTCCATAATTGATAATTGGCATTCCATGACTACTATCAACATATACACAATTCAATACAGACAGATAGATAAATATATAACAGTAGTAAATAAAATATTTTCATTGGTTCCTTCAAAGTATATAAGACCTAACACAACCAGATTGCTTGCCACCACCTTAGCTCGTTATTGAAATTTTAAACTAGAAGTAAATTATTCATTTACTTAAAACAAACTAAAATGTTAAATAAGCTAAAAGATTCTAATAGGAAACACACTTATTGAAAAAATGTGTTTCTAAATAAGACTTAGTTTAAACTAATGTAAAAATAAATTATAAATGCTTTTACAAAACATAAATACCTTCAAAAGTTTATATTCTCTGGAATCTTGAAATGTTGGATAAAGATCTATATATCGCTCCATCGCTTGCTGGGCATTAAGTACATCAACACACAAATGACACAAAGCAGCTCTGAAGAAATATTCTTTAGCACTGTACTTGAGTAGAGAATTGTCCAAGGAAGAAGAAGCAACCTGAAAAATAAAAATAAATGTATGTAATGTGATAAATAAACATGTCACAAGTATTTTTATAACTTAATTTTATAATTTTTCTTAAATTCAACATTCACAGTAAAGTTTCTAGACATCAAAGTCAATAAGAAACTAACTTTGATCAAGAAAGTTACCGCATAAACGGGTTTTGATAAGTCACAAGATCAAATTGTCTCTACAAAATGGAAATTTTTGATCAAAGTATAACAGTTATTTCGTGTTCAGGAAACACATAATTCTTCAAAACACACTCTGTTCTGGGTCATTGTGTGTATCAGTCAATGTGTATATTTTGCAATTAAGTTCCAAAGCAATATAAAAGTTTAAGATCTTGCAGTTCTTCTTTTATTTGATGTGTAATTTGTATTATAATTATTATAATACACACACATATATTATTAAATTACAAAATACCAAGAAAACTGAACATTTGCAGGGCCGGATTTTAATTTTGTACATTTGTAGGCCAAAAGTTTCTGCCAACTTAACATTGGAGACAACCATTTGTAAAACATGGTAATTGACAAGACAAATTTTACAATGAAGTTAAAAACCTTCAACCAAAAGTGAAGTCACTTATGACAGGTTAATACAATATTTCATGAACAACAATCTATGAAATCAGCCTTAATCAATCCAGGGTTGCCAAAAACTTCAAGACAAAAAAATGTCAGTCACCATGTTTTAAAATCTCACTTCACTTAATTTATTTATTAAACCTTTTAACTAATAGAAAACCAGTAAATTAATACAATAATAGTTGGATCATCGCAATAATCCACATCGTTTTAAGATCAATACAACTCTGATTTTATCAACTTTGATAAGAGAGGCAGGGCAGATCGGCCCAAAAGTAAACGAAGATAAAACAAAATATATCACATAAGCCAAAAATTCCTTCCCAATAACAGGATCTGCCTAGAAGAGATTATGTTCCCAAGAGTAGAAAAATTCAAATAATTTGGCTCCACAATAACCTCAATGAATAACCAACGTTCAGAAATACACCAGCGTATAACTAGTGCAAACAGAGCTTCCTTCTCCATTTCACAGGTATTGAAATACTGAAAAATATCAAATTAAGGGTGTACAATACTATGATAAAGCCAGTTCTAATATATGGCTGTGAGACCTGGACTTTAACCATCACCCTACACCCTAGAATAAAGTATTGAAAGATTTGAGAGAAAAATCCTCCACATGATAACCGGAGCGATCTGTGATCAAAGCCTCTACATAACAATGAATGCCTGAATAGAAGGCAAAAGACTACATGGAAAGCCAAAAAGTAGATGGAAAGATAGAATCAACCAAGATTCAATAGAGCTGCATGCAGATAATTGAAGAAAAAAAATAGCCCAAGACAGGCAGAGATGGAGCAGGCTTGTTAAGGTGGCAAAAGACCTACAATGTCTGTAATACCAACAGAAAAAAATAAGTATTTAGGTCAGTAAGAAAGTGGTAATGTAAAATTGAAATAAATCTGTTGTTGAGTAGGAGGAATTCATTTTTTTATTCTCAGTCGGTTAAATTGGTTCATTATTATATATTTAAAATAATAGACATAAAATACCTATATCTGTGCTAATAATTGTCCGATTTCAACTTGACACTGACATAGAATAGTATGTCTTATGTATGTATGACTTATGAATTGTTTAATAGATTCATCTTCAGTTTTCTCAGGGACTCACATAGGGTGCAAAAAAAAGAAATCAGTACAGTGACTGAAAATGGTTAATTACCATACTCCTACCTGCCAACTACTGACAGAGAAGCTATAATGGAAAAGCTGAATGACTTTTAACAATATCAAAAGAAACAATTTAGTTTTGGTTTACAACATTGAAAGCCTTTGAGTTCTCGAACTAGGGCAGGGAGGCCCAGAATGTACTTTATAATTGATTCTTGAATCTATTCCCAAGTCACCGAGTTTGTCACTTTGACAAGTTAAACTTAAAAAAACTTTACCTGAAAAATTCCAATAAAAAAATATGAATAATATAGTCAAGTATTTCTTCAGTTTTGATTCTATGTTGATGATAATTGTGACAAATTCAAGATTATATGTAATCAGAGAAAACAGTAAAAATCAACTAACAATTATATGATAAAAAAAAATATATAAAAGTAAGCTGAAATAGACAAAAAGCACTTAAGGAAGAAAAACTGAAGTACGAAAAAAAGTAAAGTAAGAAAAAATGCAGTAAGGAAGAAAAACTATCCCAGAAATTAAAACATATATCAACAATTACACCCAAGAAATAACTACCTGAAACCACTCAATTGCAGTGGAAGTAATAATCAATATTAAGTGCACTGATTAATTTCAAGACATCTTAATTTGCAAGTTTAATTTTTTTTCCTGGTGCAATCATGAAAATTATTTGAACATTTTATCCTCTGACACATAAATTATTTCTATTGATTGATTAAGAACAGACTAAAAATAATCCATGAGCATTAAATATCATTAAAACTAAAATGATACACACCCTTCTTTTGAAATTATTTGATTACTCAACATATTATTTTTTTCAAAATAAATATCCTCTTTAATTCCTTGACTAACTATTAATAAAACAAAAATGACTCTACAATTGGAAAATCTATTCAGATATTCAATAACTACTTTAAATTAATTGACAAATGATAGATATATATTCCTAGACCCAGTAGTTAATGAAAAAAAAAAGAAGTAAAATGCCATACATTAAGCAGATATTTTAATACATAGAACTACCAATAGTGAATTAATATCACTGATCCTACAACACAAAACAATGATTACTGCATATGATTCCAAGCAGTAACTTCCACAGAATAAATGTCACAAAAAAATACAATAATCATTCAAAAGACAATAACAGAATTTTCCTGTTACGTCAGCACTTAAAATAGTACTTGACAAATAGTGGAGTACCTAAGTATGCCTTTAGAAAAGTGATAAGATGTCTTAGATATATATATATATATATATATATAGCATACATTTAATAATGTAACCAATATTATTTGTAATGTCAATATTCCCTATATTCTTACGTATATTTCAGTATTAACTGACACTATGGATATCAAATTACTTAATAAAAGTTCTAATACAAGTTAGAAACTAAACTTACCTGTTCATAAATTTGAATAGCTTTATCATAGTTTTCTAACTGGGCTGCATACTGAGCAACTTTCAGCATGCATTTATTAGCAGCAGAATTACTTTCTTCTCCTTTAAAATAATCAGCCGCCTGTTCATAATGTTGAACAGCTCTTTCAAGATCAACTGCTTCAGTTTCATACATTTCAGCGATAGTTTGATGATGTTTTGCAGCCATTGTAAACCTCCCCATGTCAGTATAAATTTCTATTGCCTTCAGAAGACAGTTAACACCCTCTAAAATAACAAATAACATCACAATCAAAGAAACAAATATTTAAGTAAGTAAAATTTGAATAACACCTACCATTAGGATCAGATTTTTTATAACAATTCGCTGCATCAACATAATTAGTTGCAGCATCATGTCTACTCCCTAATTTTGAATACAGATTTGCAGCTTCACAGAATGCATTACCAGCAGCTCCCCATTTCTTGGCCATTTTAAACATATTTGCTGCCCTTTGATAACATTCAATAGCTTCTTCTACTTTTGATGAAGTACCTCTATAATGCAATCAAATAAAAAAAAATTACATCAAATAAAAATCATTTAAATAGATTCTAAGGAAAATAAAAACATAAAATGACATGTCATCTATGTTCCATTCTTTTCTTACCCAAAAAGCGAACCAAAGAAACTTTTATTAGAAGTTAACTTTTTTTCAGCCTCTGCAAGGAATTGCAAGGCTTTTTGTTCGTTGTCCGCCATTATCTTTAACTAATTTCAATAATAACAATAATAATAATAACGAGACACGACACCCTTCTTATTGACAAAATGTTTACAACACAGGTCGAAAGATGGCAAAATTATCGGTGATTGTGATACGCATGCGCTCCCTGTTTGCCCTGTCACAACAACCAATCCTACAATTTTGAAACCAAAGACATAAAATTATTTTATAGATAAACCATTCTAAAAGCTGAAGTACTTAACGATAAGTCTTAACGTTAATAAATAAAATTAATTATTCATATATAAAACTACAATAACAGATGTTATTTGTCGAAACTGTCAAGGACATATTTCTCGAGAAAACAATTTAAAATTATGATAAAACCATTTTAAGTCTTTAAGCATATAAATACTATTGTATCATTACGATCGTCTATATATAATCTTATAACAGTAATATAAGATATCTCAGATACTATTTAAATATTGATGTATCAAACCATTGGTTTAACGATAGTTTGTATTTGTTACAAATTGCATTGTATAGTTTTCTATCAGCTCGACTGTTTATACGCATTAACTGTTATTGGAACAAGATGTTTTTTCCATCACAAGGCGTGGAATCAACTAAAATTTTGGATCACAGAGTGATTTTTTGGAAGTCTCAATGCGCCCTGCGAACTTAGTTTGGGTCTCAATGTGTCAATCCAAAAGGTTTGGAGATCATTGGTACTGGCCATTGTTTTCAATACACTCCATGAAATTCTTACCTTTGTTTAAACTGTTCTTCCATCTGGATTCTGTAAAGACTGTACCCTAGTCCTTCCTGTCTTGCAAGTTATACAATTTCCTGAAACGATTCCTGTCTTTTGTCGCCGTATTTTCAAACTATTATAATTGCTGTTATTCTAAATATTAAGAATCTACTTTCTAGAGTGCTTTCAAAGAACTAATCCTATTACCATGCACAAATCACAGCACGCTTTATTATGACAAAAGACATCTTTAAGTTTTTTTTTTATATCTGTACCTCGGAAGTAACCAACACCATGTCCATATTTCTTCAAGAGAGTCAATTTTGCATAACTTTGATCTATTAAAATTTCTTTATTAGTGACTACATTTGTACCCCGGAGGTATGTAAAGGACACAACGTCAATTTTTTGTCTTGGTCGGAGAAACCAATTTTTCATAAATTTCAGCTCTTAAAATTTGTTACAAAGTCACTAAGTTATTTAATAAAAAAATGGGCATAGTGTCGTTTTCCCCGAAGCACAGATATGTATAAATTTCAGTTTTAGTTCGCTAGATAGATGGCCTCAAATAAACATGTTCTGGTTTCGTACATTACCTTATTCTAAGACCAATTTATTGCAAAACTGTTACATTGTTGCTGATAAACTTGACTTCTAATCCAGTTACTACCTCTAAATATTTTAAATGTATATTTCCCTTTGATTATAAATTATAACTATTCAGTTTATAACCAGTTAATTTGCTGTTTAGTAAAATTGTACAAGAAATTGCAGCGTCCCAACCTTTCGCTTCCTACTATTCTTTTGCACTTTAAAAAGATAATCCTTCTTTTTCTCCTAAAGATAATCCTTTTCAGCTCTGTTGCCAATGGTATCGGAGATAAGAGTTTGGGCTATTTCTGAACATTTCTTTTGGCCTATGCTGATTGCCGTTTCTCTCATCAATTTGGTTATTCGTGTATCGACGTCATGTTACTCATGAGTCTAAGAACCAGAATGATTTAAATTTTAAATAGAATTTCGACTCTATTTTAACTTGTTTTAAAAATAAGAATAAATTCTATTGTTATCTCACCGTAAGTACTATCCACTTACATTGGATATGATTCGATCACTCCAGTTCCATTTATGACAAACCTTTATAGAATATTTTTTGATACATGTACTTGTCTTTTAAGAACTTGCATTGAATTATTTATCTTAGGAATATGTATGAATTAAACTGTATATTTTTAAATATTACGCAGTCAAAAAAATTGCAAACTTTAACTCCGAATATTTATAATATTTAATTTACTTTATTTTTGCAACAAAGATTAATTCTATCAATTTATAATTCTATTCTCATCTAGGAAGTGCCACGCTGTAAGATAACAAGACAAAATGTTCCACCCCGACTCTCGATTTTAAATCGAACAAAATTCAAGGGTAGGTTTGTGAAACAGTGTCTATCTTCTTATCACAGAATCTACGTAATTAAAGATCCATAGGTATCTGAAATGTAACTTGCTCACTAATGTTTAAATTGTCAGTAACATATCATGATTTATAATATTATAACTCCTTGTGTGCTCTCTGTTTGGGTGTTAAGATGCTTTCATATCAGCTGTAAGAGTATGACGTGGTTTTAATAGCTTGCATTTCCCTTCAGGGAGATTATTTATGTATTTTAATCATAATTCTATTAAGCCTAGTTAGTGCAAACTCAAATTAAAATGACGTTTTACAATGACAATCCTGTCCCAAAAGGGCCACCTGATTTATGTTTTGATACAAGTTCATTTATTAGGGTAGGTATATTTAATTTATATTTTTAGTTAATATTTATTTTCTATTTCTAATTCCATCTTGTATAATTTTTTTAAAGGATTCCTTCTCAGTTGACCAGTTTCTACAAGATCATAGAAACAAAGCTACATTGGAAATTATGAGAGATGATTTGGGGATGTATTTGAAAGTTCTTCGATCAGCAATGATTGATCTTATCAATAAAGACTACGCAGACTTTGTAAATTTATCAAGCAATTTAATTGGTTTGGATAAAGCAATAAATGATATACAGTTACCCTTAGGTCAATTACGTGAGGAATTATTGGTAATAATCTAAAAAGAATCCTTTTGTAGATTTCACATTGTCAGTGTTATATATAAAACTTATAAATAACTATTGGATTTCAGGAAATTCGCCAGAGTTTAGATGGTGCAGCTGAAGAAATATCATCCCAACTCTCTCATAGAAGAGAATTGAGAGAACATAAAAGAAGTCTTAGAAGTTTAAGTCGTGTGCATACATCTTTAAAAAAGCTTCGTCTGATTTTATTTTCTTTAGAAGAAAATGGAAAATCTGAAATTCAGTTATTAGAACGTGTTGTTTCAGAATACAGTCATATTCAATTCCATATATCCAGATGCAAGAAAGACCTCTCAGATAATGATAATGAGGTATATGGAATATTTAAAAATATGTTTTAAATGTTGTCTTTCTTTAAAAAATAAATTTACCAACTTCTATAGTATATATATACTACGGTATGTTTTCATATCTTTTTTATATATATCAAAATCTAATATTCTGTCAAAGATCTTATCTATCAAGTTCATGATATTTGCTATTAGTCAAACATATAATGAATGCAGGCTTTAGACTTACATTATTCCGAAAACTTTAACTCATTGACTAAAGTGTGTTCCAAACTACAACTTATTTGTTATTTTTAATTTTTTATTATTTTGGTGTTTCAATTAATTCATTTATAAAAACTTTTACTTTTCTCTTATTTCTAATAAGATACCATTTCTGTATTTTATAAGAAGCTCTCCCTTCTCTCATTAGGCATTCAGGTCTGGGTGTTTTCTTTATCCATTTGTATTTATTATCTTGATTTTTCTAATGAATTGTTGAATCGATTTTGTAATATTTATAATTTATTTTAGAAGGAGTGCCGTTTCATAACACACATTTATATTTCAGATATTTGATAAGGTAGGAAGAACTTTAGTGCAGTGTGTAGATAATCTTTTTCTTGAAGCTTTATATAAAGGCGAAAAAGGAAAAAATGAACTGCTCTGTGCTTTGTCACTTTATCAGGCTCTAGACAAACTAAGTTCTGCTGAAAGGTAACTGTTTATTTTACCATGAATTGTTTATTTTTTAAAATATTATAAAAATATCTCATTTCTTTATTTTCATGGACCTTTAGATTTGTTTATAAACCCTTTTTGGCAATAAGAAAGCAATTGAGCAATAACCAATTGGCAATAAGAAAATACATTGCTGAATTCATTTTCTCAAAAACTGCTCGGGAATTTTCTTTCAAATTTTGGATTTGCGGTTGTTTTAATACATAAACTTAAAGTTTTGAATAACATTTTTTGATACATATTTCTGTAACTTAGACTTGTTTTAGATTCAGTGTTACATCATTCAAGTAATTTTTAAATTTATGTTTCATTCTACGTTCATAATATTATTATTTGTGATACTTCAACCCAAAGTGAACGCTGACCTCATCCAGGAACCACTCGCAAATTCAAATTAGTTCTAACTCTGGTACTCCTTTTTAAAACAACATGTAATTTACTTGAATCCCATAATATCTAAAGTTTGATTCCGAGAATGGACTTGTCAAATCTAAGTAGTTATTGAATAAGTTATTAAAGTTCTTTGGCCGCCACCCTGGTCCATCTCTTTCTTATTATAAATGTAAATATATATATGCTCAACCTAATAAATATTGTACTTGATAGTTGAAAATAATCGATTCTTTGTGTGTGCTCTATCAGTGTTGTTTAAAGATTTCTAATGTTAGATTGGCTATTTATTATTTTATGAAGAGACCATGGTGGCCATATATGGTATTTTTATAGAATATAGAAGTTTGAAATTATTAAAAACAACTGTCATTCATTTGCAACTGCATCCTTTCACGTGGCCCAGGTTCTACATAGACTCATTATGAGCTTTCGTAGTTATCATCTAATCATGGTTATTAATTTTATTTTATTTTTTTTTAAATTGTGTTGTAATACTTTCTTTTTTTCTAGACTCTATCGTAAACAGGTTTCATCAGCAATGGAAAATCTCATTTCAGAAGAAGCTCTTCGTTCCTCTCCTACTGGCTTGCCTGGTCTCTATAATAGAATACTGTCTTTTCTAGACACAGAAATGAAATGTTTATGTGAAATTTCTGCCATTTTCAACAAGTAAGTTCATAAAACTGAGGATGTAATTTCATGCATGAAGAAAATTTAAAAGTATGATGAGTTTTTTTGAACTAGAACTAACTTGTTTCGAATCCATAATATATTATCCGTTAATGACTCCTTACCCTGTCAATATTTAATTTCATCACCCTACAAGAGCTACAACGGTATCCCTTAAGTTTTATATTCTCCCGTAAAACAATCAATATTTACATACAACATTTTGCACTAACATTAGCGATATGCATGTTCAGTATGCACTGAGATTTTTTTATTTAATCACGAATCATCAAATTAGCAATTTAAAAATTTGGAACTTTTGCTCATTCAATATTTCCTGGTGAACAAAATTTGTGGATTACAAACTTGTGAATATTGAGAGATTATTGTATTTCCGAAAACGGCTTCTTCCGAAGATTTTATTCTCATACGAACAATTATAAACCTTGAAATATCGATATTGTTTATCCAATAAAAACAGTGAGGAAGCTATACTGACCTTACTTGACAGACTTTTTTTTTTTTAAGGTAACTAAAATTAAAAAGAACAGAATGAATAATTGTTTAGTCTCTTTTGAAACAATTTTAATTTATTTCCAGGAATTCTAAACAAAACAAGTGTGACTTCTTTTTAAGAAGTTTTTGGCCTGAAGTTGAAGAAAGACTGGAAACAAATTTGACTTCCATTTACTCACCTGGAGATCCTGATATATTTTATCAAGTTAGTATTATTTTCTATACTTTTTTAATTCAGTTTAGTTTGAATGTTGAAATAGTTTGGAAATTTTTACTGTACTAATTTTGAGTTTTTGTTTTCTTTTCTGTGTTTAAGAAATACACTGAAACATTAACATTTTTGGAAAAGTTATTAAATCGTTGTGATGCTCCCCATTCAATACAAGAACTTCAAGGACATCCTAACTTTCTACATTTTATGGAACGATGGGATTTACATTTGCCAGTGTATTTTCAGATCAGGTAACTATATATAGACATTGACAATAGTGTAAAGCTACTTGGAAAGGTTAATACTATGATATTATTACAATAAAAATATAGAAACTCATAAACAAAAATGGATATTTATCCACTTATTTTCCTTAACAAATTATTTAAATTTCAATAATTTAAATTTTGAAAGAGAGGAGGATTACTCTACTTGAACATATTTTTATTTTTCACATTTCATTGTGTTGATTAATCACTTTTGTGCTGTATCAACTTGTAGTATACTTATTGGGTAAACATTATTTATAAACTTATTTAAAACAAGCTAGCTAAAAAATATAAACTTAACACTCACCATTGGATGAAATGGACAATGATGTGTTGGTTTGTTTTCAATGTAGTCAGCTGAAATATTTTGATATATTCAGAAAAAGTTGTAAAAAAAAAAAATAGCTGAAAAATAGTCGACAGGAAGATTACCGGCGTCCGGTGCAGATGGCCATGTATTCTGTCTTTAAAAAATTCACTTTAAGCCCCACAGACTCATAACATGCCCATAGTGAGCACATCATATCTTCCAAAAACACCTTTTTGCACCCGAATATGACCTGATCATCGGCGAAAAAGAGAGACACCAGCTGTTCATCTCTGATGCATGGCCCTACATCTCCACACCGACGATACCATTACTTGACAGATTCACTTAGATATATCTTGAAAAGAGTCGGTACTATACTACAGCCCTGTTTCAGACCCCTAGTAGCCAAGGAAGACTCAGTCAATTGACTTCCAAGCTTCATCCGGTAAATGTCGTCTCGGTAGAGGTGTCTTACCACTGCATTTATTATGGCTTCGTCGATGCCAGCCCCTCTCAGTTTTGTCCACATTTTAGTTCTTGGGACTCTGTCCTTGCTGAAGTATTTACATAATATAAGTCTATATCTGCAAGTATCTTGCTAGTGGACAAAGGTTAAGTTTTATATTTATTGACAAATTATGATTATTGAGCATAGTTATTTAGTTACATCAGGTACCTGTTAACAGGAGCCAATCAAATTGTTCCATTAATGTGTTATATTGATATTAAACTTTTCTTTAGAAGAAACTACTAAACTGTTCTCCACTTTTAGAATTAAATCTAATTGAATAAAAAAAAAATATGTTTATAAATGAACTTTAGAATAACTTGGGTTGGTTTACCAATTTGTCATCGATTACTTAAAGGTATTATGAGGGTTTTTTTTTTACTATTTAATTAATACATTTTCCATAAATTTAATTTTACAGGTTTCAAGAGATTGTAAGGGACTTGGAAATATCTTTTCAAAGCGATGATTGGTTATCAAAATCAGATAAATGGAAACTATTGGCCACTGAAACCGTTTGGAAATCCTTAAACAAATGTTGGGAAGATGGTATTTTTCTCCGGTCTATTGCTCACAAATTCTGGAAACTGAGTTTACAAATAATATCAAGATTCACCAGATGGGCAAAAAGCATTGCTCATCATCCAGTTAGTAGTTTTTTTACTTTGTTGACTTATGTTTTTTTGTTCTCTATCTTTCTCATAAATTTTATTCATTTTCAGGATAATACAAAAACAGCAGATGTAGATTTTTTAGTATTTTTATATAGTGATATACAACAGCTTCATCATATGTTACCAGAATTTAAAAAGTTTGTGATTGAAAAATTATTTAAAATCAGCGAGCAAACTCTACAATTGCTAACACGTAATTAAGTTTTATTATATTAATATTGTAGTGTACATAAAATGAGTTAAAGGTCAACATTTTATACAATAATTTCTTTCATCTTAATCAATATTGTAGGTCTTATTAGTACAAATAATTATCAAAGATAAGAATTTCTGGTATTTCCGTATACCAACTGAAATACAAAACTTTACTGTAATTGTTTAGTTTAGCTTTGTAGAAAGTTTAAATTTATTCTTTTTATTTATTTTTTCTGAAACAAAAATTTGTTAAATACTACTCTGATTTCGATTTTTTTTTTTTTTTTCACTGGATGATTCAGTTTTCTTTCAAGTGATTATATTATAATTTACCATAAAATATTTTGTTTTTGAGTTATGCCATTAATACAATTTTTTTATTGTTTAAACGTTTTTCCTACTTTTCTATGGGACATTCTTAAAATGGAAAGTTGAAGAATTCTAACACAAGTTTAATCAAAACTGTTATGTTTCACTGGGTGTCCGATTTGGTAAGTAGGCATCAGTGGCTTAAATCCTAAAAAACAAAAAGCAACAAAATAAGTTCACCTGTTCATGAGATAATCATGGTACAAACAGAAAGACGAATGGAATAACATTTTTTGTAGCAAGGGGGCTCTGAAATTTATAGAACTGTTGGAACTACATTGAAAAAATGGTTTTATTGTAATACTTCCTTTCTTTATAGCGGTAGGAGAGTATAAACATGTATAGTAATTTATAATATTTATTAATAAGTCACTATCATTGTGTCTACTCCCTTCCTCTTTCATCATCATCTCTTTTATCTTTATATTAACTTACTGCTAAGCATTGAGGGGATCTGATTGGTTGTAAATTTTTTTCTTAAATATTATCTATTTCTCTTGATGTTGAAATTTTATTAAATTACAAAATGAATAATAAAGTAATTTTGTATTGTAGAAAGCCTGGAAGAAAGTGGATATGAACTGGAAAGCCAATTAGAACTATTGAACGAAGCTATTATCAAAGCATTAAGTGGAAACAGTGCATTATTGATCAGGCAGGTTAATGACATTCCAAGATTGTTTAGGCGGACGAACAGAGAACCTCCAACAAAACCTTGTACCTATGTGGTAAACATATTAGAAACTCCTGGCCAGTTTTATGAGAAACATAAAAGTCATTCGAAGACAATCGTTTGGCTGACTACAATGTTTTCTGTCATTACTAAACAGTAAGAAATTTTAAATTAGTAATTTTTTTCCTCTCCTTTTCAACATTCATGAATGAAAAATATATTTCTTGCATACAATCCATCTTGTCAGTCAGTGATCCGCTACAACATAAAATAATAAATAAACATAAGTTTTATGTGAATTATATTGGAAAAGTCATTGCTATCATAAATAAAAATTAATGCTTAACTTGTCAATTAATTTTAAACTAGAAATTACTGCAATTAATAATTTTGTTAAAATAATTTATGAGCTAAGCTTATAGATCTATAAACAATGAAGTATAGAAGCTCATGTTTATTGTTGGTCATTTCTCTGACTTACCCTACATTTATTCAATGGTTAGTTAAAGAAGGTTATAAATAACAACTGAAAAAAAGTTTATCAAAATCTGTTCAGTTATTTTCTCTCAGAATAACAAAATAGAAAAATAAATTATTACAGACTGTCATGTTTTTAGAATTATTATTTTAGTAATTAGATATATAATGATGAAGAAAAATTTATTCGCAAGTCAAAAATAATTCAAGAAATAATCTATAGATTCCACAGCTTACACTAAAATTTTTTTTATACAACTACCAGTAACACAATAAAATTACCATCATAGCTTGCGAATCCAATAACCACCTACCTTAATAGAAAATTCTTTTATCATGCATAATTAACATGTTAAGACTTAAATTAGTAAAATAATTGATAATAAGGAAGTTGAGTCTTGAATAGAATCTATGAGAGCAATATTTTTTTAATATAATTTTGTTTACATGTTTATTCATTATTTAATGTATTAATTTATTTTATGGTTACTTTTTTACTTTCACTTACCTATTATGAAGTACATAGCAAGAGACAGTATTGCGATCCTGAAAATTTTTGAATCTGAGTTTTCAGCGGAACTACATGTTTTGAGGTCTCCTGAGTCCAAATAACCAAATCCCACAAAATGATCTCTGTGTGTGTCTATATGTATGTGACAGGTCTAGCTCAAAAATGAAAATTCGTATGAAAGTGAAATTGTATATGTAAGGTTTGTTTATACATGAGATGTTACAGCAACTTTTTCGTCAAAATCGACTAACCGGAAGTGGCACTTTATATCATCGATGAAGCACATTTTTACTATTTTCTCCAAAATGGCTCCAACTATTTTGATTAAATTCATTATATCAATGTAAAATTAATCAGTTTAACCAGTATGTAGGTTTTATTCTCATTGATGTTCTCTAACAGGGCTTAAATGGCTAATTTTCAATATTAGCTTCCTCTACAGTACCTTTAGTTTTTTTTTATTTGAAACAATTAACCATTTCACATTGGTCTCTAATATAAAATATGAAAGAATTTGATAATTAACTAAAGGAAAAATAAGAGATCGTAACAGAGAATAGTTGTAATGAAGACACCAAAGGGATACGAGAGCGCGCCCGAAGATTAGAACAGGCTTCCATAGAAACATGAGCTTAATATAATATAGACATCGACAATATTATGTATATATACATATATGGTTTTCATTGATATTATTTAATATTTAATTGCATAGATTACAGCGATATAAATATTAAAATTTGTATATATAAGGGTACTTAAGCAAATAAAATATAAATCAATGTAGCGTTTGTAATTTTTACTTTCACTTCCCCTTTGTCTGAAAATACTTATTTCTGCTAAGAAGAGGGTGGTAAGTGAAAGTTTTGTGATGCGCGTACCGCACTAGATTTTTAACTTACGAATCTTATTAGTATTACATTAACATATTCAATTATATTAAAAAATGTTTGATTGGAACAATGTAGATAGATTTTTATATTATTATCTATTCCTTCATACCAATAATTTAAAAAAATATATTATGTAACTAATCAACTGAATCCTTTATCACTCTCATACAAAAGAACATTCCTTGATTCCCAAAATTATTTAAAACCATTACATGGCTTAAAGATGATCTAATAAATATGTCTAGTATATATTTAATGGTTGCTAATTATTATTCTGATGTTCCTTTGATGTCATCTCATATTTTGTATCTTTTTTTAGTTTATAAACAATCGATTATTCATTGTTAATTGAACAAAGTAAATGTTGAATAATTTATAAATAATCAACCGCTCTGTACTCAAATTTTGTTTCATAGGTATTACTCTTCTGTATCAGATGTACTTGATTCAGTTCAAAAGACAGAAGAGAGTTTACGTAGATTAAAAAAGGCAAGAGATAGATCAAGCAACCTCGTTCCAAATGACAGGAGGGTTGAAGATGATAATAAAATAAGATTGCAATTGCTGCTAGATATAAATGCTTACGTTAAAGGGGTAATTTTTATGCATTTATTATTTTTGTTGAAGTATCTACTTATTTTAAATAAAATGTCAGCTTTGAGGATGGTATAGTTAAAATATTAATTGATTAAATAATTTACTATTAATTAGAGTAGAACTTCAATTTTCAAGGGTTTGAAGTCTTATAAAATAAATTATATGTAGCCATTTAAAACCTCCAATGCTTAAAAATTGAAGTTCTTCAATTTTCAGCTTTCATTACTATTTTAATGGATTACCTATTTTTAAGACCTTGGGCTACTTTCTATTATCGATAATTTTTAAAATTGGCCATGTGGTACAAAATATCTTCTAAATATTAATTCATTTTAGACTTTGATTTCTAAAAGAATATTGTTCACTGACAAGAAATTTTTAAGGAGATTTAATTACAGTGATTAATGGTTTTTATAACATAACTCCTAAAAGTTGATATTTCATGTGATATACATTAACCTTTTTCCTAAATGCAGTATTATTTTTTTTTTTTTTTTTTAGATAGAAACATTTGGAATCAATAAGATAGACATTGAAAAGCTCACTGATTTACTGCTTTTAGTTGAAGCCACGCAAAAGCCATAGTATAAACTAAAAAATATGGCCGGAACAATTTTGTCTAATATAAGCCATTATAAGTGCATTATTTGTATATACATTATATATTCAATATAGTTTTGAAATAAATATGTATATTCTTATTTTTACCCACATTTGCTCTGTTTTTTATTTAATAACCTGAAATTTTCCTGGAAATAAATTTGCTGTAAAAACTGAAAAATTGTGTAATAATATGCTTTACTTATTCTGGGACAAGTCGCTTAAGAATAATACTAAGTAATAGAATTGTGGACTTTAGAGTTTAATAAAAATAAAATAAAATAAACAAATAGAAATTAATATACATATATTATTAATATATATACATAAAAAATATACCTAAAAACAAATTAATAATTTATATACATATTTACAGAAATAGCTATTTACATCTGTTTGGGAACCGGATAGATAGGAAGTGGTTGAATAGGCTGGATTTAAAGGTGGGTAGGTTATTAGAAATTGTTGATGTAGGAGGGAATGGAATTCTACAGTAATAAGAATCGAATAATGAAAGATCTGTCGAATGTTGCAGATCAATGGACATGGTATATAGATCTAAAAACATAAAGTGGGAATGGACAGAGGATTTGAAAAGAAGGAGCTCAGAGATATGTGATGGATTGGATAACTTGGTAGAGAATGGGTGCCAGGAAATGCTTATTACTATAGGAAGGATAAAGCCACTTCCACCAACTCTGCATAAAAACGGGAGACAGAGGCATCCCGAAAATAAAACATACAAAGCAATTTATCAACCGTTTAGTTTTGCCTTGAGATCACCATATACTACCCAACAGTAATCAAAGTGGGGAAATATTAAGGAAGTAGAAGTTTACAGGTTACTAATGGAAATAGGTGACAAATATAATTTACACAATTTAAAAGGAATGTACTAGAATCTATTTACACGACAAACTTTTAATCAATTCAAATGTTTTTATTTTTTTCAAAAGTAAACACCCAATTGCTTGTTTTGAATTTCCCCAAAAATTCAGTCAGGGGTGTGTCTTCAATTGTGGATTAGTTGATTGATGTTGCCTTTATACAAAAGATTGTTAGGAAGGCCCTTGTGCATGAACACAATCCTTAATTTTAACTCTTATAATTATATCCTATAAGATTGTTTTTGTTCCTGCTATTTATGTCAATGTTTAATCTAATCCTTAAATTCCTTATGACTTGAGTTGGTTTTATGTGGTCATTTACATTTTTAAAATGCACATGAAATGTCAGAAGAAAAAACCATGATTCCATGTCTTTTGAGAAATCACTGGGGAAAAAAATCCAAGCACAGGGGCAACTGTCAAAGAAATTTGTGCCATAGGGGAATCCGTTACACATCGAAATACTGTTTCACTTTGGTTCATGCATTTCAACAATGGGAATATGATCATAGCAGATTAACCAAGCCCTTTGGTCTTTGATGATGACTGTCTCTAATTTGTGAACCCACATCCAACTATTCCTGATTTATTTATCGGAGGTAATAAATTCTAATGCCACAATAGGAGGTCATCTTAAAAACTTGGGTGTAAGAAATTCAAGACAAAGATCTGACCCACTTGACTTGACAGAGGTCCAAACTCAGAAACAAGTTAATATTTGCAAAATTTTGTTTCAAAATCCGAAAAATGACAGGATCAGAGAAAAAATTATCACAAGTGGCGAAAAGTGAATATTTAAAAAAAAAAAAAAAAAAAACTTTAGCAACCATAGAAAATGTGTAAAGTTTCACAAGTAGTGGTTCATCAAGATCGGTTCGGGAAAAAGAGTTATGCTTAGTGTTTGGTGGAACTTGAAAGGCATTTTGCATTTTAAGCTTGTTTCCGATGGTGGAGGAGTTGACTCAAACCTTTACTGGGCACAGTTAGAGTTCATGCAGTTTTGAATGTAAAGTACTCCGCTTTGGTTAAATAGGGACCGAGCCTATTTATTTTGCAACTGGACTGTGTCTGTACTCGTTTGACCAAAAAAACACCGGAACTGCAAGCAGTGTACGTTTTGCTTCATCCTGCGTATAATCCCTACATAGAACCATAGGATTATGGGTAGTTAAGATCAATCGCTTATTTTTTTAAAACGGTTGGATCTACGGTAATTACGTGGACGTAAAAATCGGATTTGAAGAGTTCTATGTCCCAAAACCAAAGGAATGGTACCGGCATCAGATCCAATTACTGGCAGAAAGTTGGGCGAAAGTAGTTGAAAACAATAGACTTTACTTTGAAGTGTGGAATTCAATAATGTTTAAAATACATAATATGAAATAGAGATATTTCATTCACAAGGACTTTTGCAACAAGCTTGTATTATCGGTTCTAAAGCTTTTGGTTGCTAATGCATATTTCGTTCTTCCTGTTCCCTTATCAATACGTTCAATATTTCTGCCCGGATTTTCAATTTCTTATGATTAGGAACCTCTCTCAGATAAGGAACCAAGCTGGCCAAAAACAGAAAGTCGCTGTCTTGGCTGTTCGTTGCCGCCTCTCGAATATAAGGTAACATATCATTCTCCATTTCGATTATTTTCTTGTCATTGTCAACTTTTCTCTTCTTTTTGATAGGACTCTGATACTGTTTCTTTTTTGCAGTCGAGTATTCCGGCGACTCGGGCATAGGCGAATGTGGTCCATTGTTTTCAATATTACAGTCTTCATTGTCGCTTGGGACGTCATCAGCGTTGATGGACGGTTCAGCACTGTTGCAACTATCGACAACGTCTTCTTCTTCTTCACTGTTAATCAATGATTCCTCAGTACTTAATAGTGACTTCTTAGGAGTAGTAACATCCATCAAGAAACACATTTGATTGAAATATGACCAAGATTTTATTGTTTCTGACCTTTTACCACTTTTATCTTCGTAGCATTTTTTCAATTCTCTTCTGAAAGAATCCCTTAAACTTTTCCACTTTCTCTTGACTTCCACAACTATAAAAAACAAACAATGAAAATAAATTAATAATAATTTACTAATTAATTCTTTGGAATTTGGATAAAAGGGTACTTAACTTAATAATTCCATACAAACACCGTTTATTGAAATATCCCTTTTTTCCAAGATAAATTTCATTAAAAAAATTGGTATGCCCACTCTTGCTAACAAATAAATAAATAAAGGCTAGTTAGTACCCCTTTACCCAAACACAATAGAATCTTATTCAAGACCTATCTATAAATTTTATCTTGTTCCATAATGTATCAGTTTTTATTTACGCTAATATGGTTCGCCTAATATTTATGTTGGAGGTCTTTGCCAACTGGATAGTCTTTCTATGGAAGACTATCGTAGTGGGGTTCTTCTTTTCAATTGTCTGATGAGACTGCACACTACACTTACCCCCACACTATATACTAAGGTAACATAGATTACACACCCTAGGGTCACCTCGGTATACCCTAGGGACGGGATTGCAAGTATACAAGCACCATGGTGGCAACCCCACCAGTATACTAGGGTACAGAGTGAGGGTTAGAAACCCCCGAACCTGAAGTTTATATTTCGCCGAAACCAAAATCATCCTCGGATATCGATCGCCACAAATGGAAATAACCCAGCAATTCCTATATGACTTTTAATCTCAGATACTGGAACATTCTTTCACTATAGACCTGGAGCACTGAAACTGCTCCTTGATCAAATGAACCATTTCAAACTAGGCATAGTTGCAATCCAGGAGGATCAAATGGATTAGCCAGGATACTCTTGAAAATAGACAACACACCATATATTACAGCTGCAGCGATACTTTCCATGAATATGGAGTCGGATTTGTTGTTAGAGGGCAATATAGACAACTGGTAATTGGCTTTAAGCCTGTAAACCCGCGTATCTGTGTGCTAAGGATTCATGGAAAGTTTTATAATTATAATATTATTAGTGTGCATGCTCCGACAGAAACTTCGAAGATAAGGGCGCCTTTTATGAACAGCTCGAACGAACCCTTTTCAACGCCCAAGGTATGATACGAAAATAATTGCTGGAGACTGTAATGCGAAAATAGGGAAAGAAGAGGTATACATCCCAACCATAGGCAAACATAGGCTCCAAGACCAATCATATGATCATTGGAAGTACCCTTTTCGCACACAAGGATATTCATCAAGGCACCTGGACAACACCAGATAGGGAACACGTTAATCAAATAGATCATATCCTTGTCGATAAAAGGCACAAGTCTAGCCTCCAAAACGTGAGAACATTTCGAAGCGCTAATGTGGATTCCGACCAATGTTTGTGCATTACTCCTAGGTTCTCCTTCAAAAAGTCTGGTAACCCAGCTATAAAACCTAAACACTATAAACTTGGAAAGCTACGGGAGCCAGATGCCAAACAGCTGTACACTGAGCATCTAGATTAGATCCTCCGTGCTCAGGCAGTAAATATGGAAAACATAGACTCGCTTTGATCCAGCAGTGTGACCGCAATGCAGGAAATTGCTAACAATTTGCCCTTCGCAAGGAATTCACCTCTCGCCTTCTATCCTGGCAGAACAAGCTGCATCTCTACAAAACACTAATCCGCCCAGTCCTGCTGTATGCATCAGAAACATGGACGACATATTCTATGAACAAAATATATTTTGATGTTATTGCTCTAAATTATCAATTGCTATTTATATAAGTTATTTTAGGCTAAATAATAAGTTATTCTTGCAAAATAATTATTTTATGCAACATGAGTATTCCAAGTATAAGTATTTCACGTAAAATAAATATTATAAAAATATTCGCGTTTGATACCAATACATTGTTTAAAATTCATGTATTGTAAACATTACATTGTTTAGATATTTTATAATTTATTATCTATTTCATATCGACATATTATACTAAAATAAAAATATATAAAGTTAGATGTATGTAATAATAATAATTATATATATATATATATATATATATATATATATATATATTTTTTTTTTAAACTTAGCTATTAAACTCATGATATGTTTATAATTTGGTCAATATAGACAATTAGATATTATTTAGTCAAAGACTGGGTTGATAGCGACTCAAATCCGCTAGTAAAAAAAATTAAATAAATAAATTTTAATGGTAGTCATTCTAAATTCAACGTGCCCGCGTGTTAAATCCTCAATAAC